GAAGCGCAGTAAGCCGTAAGCGTGGAGGTTAATGAGATTCGAGACGGCTACACCCATCGCATGGAGCAAAGAAGGAGGTAGTTCGAGCCCCAGGCTTCCCTTCACTCGATCCATCTACTTCCAAATGTTTCAAAACGAATTTTATGATAAAAGGGCAGCTCAGCAGAAATCGAGCAGAGATGGTCAGTAATGCAGGGATGAAGAAAAACCAAGAGAAGCGGCCCAAAATCCGAAAGTAGGAGCTCTGTCCGTTGATTTCATTGATGCCAGCTTTTTCGTGCTGCCCTCTTCAACGCTAACGCTCTCTCTGCTAAACTGCCAGAGTCAGACGGCGAGGATATCCATCCGTGGGAGTGAAATCGCCGCGAGCGGCACGGGTGCGGTGCTACTTGCTACTATACCGTTCGCTGCAGAATCGCATTGTCCCGCACACTTGTGGAGCCCGCTTACTCTTGGCCTAGGTATATTTCCCCTTCGTTATCCGACCTTGTCGTGGAATACGGCTTTGTGAAGTGAAGGTTGCAAGGACCCTGGATAAGTCTAACATTAAGTACAACTTAATATGGATTAAAGGCTATTTGGTAGAGTGCCGTGGTTTCTACAGAGTGCACAGTGTTACTATAGTAAGAGCCATATGAATCGAAAGTCCATTTGTGCCTGCTGTTCATCATAGTAGCTCATGGTGCCCCTTCCTCCCAAGTCGGCCTCCTTCGCTCCTCCTGAGGAGGCTCATTGGGGCTTTCTTGGCCTTGTCAACGGTTTCTTCCTGTTTTTTTTTCCTGGCGTTCCATTTCACACCTTTACTCTCATTTTCAAGCGCAAAATACCCCAGCCTGACTCAAACCGTGACTTTTGACAGGCGTTACCTATGATCTCAATACATTTCAGCCCACATCTCGTGATGAGATGCCATTCGAGGACATACCTGCAAAGCCGGATCAGTTACCGTATATGTTCGAGGGAGACATCCTATTGACAGAGGATCAGCTGCAAACTATTATACGGTATAATCTTGAGGTATATACCAAAAATTTCATGTTACTTCAACTACCTTTGCAGCAACACTGAGGATCAGCTCTGGAACAAAGACGGGAAGTCCGAGAGCACGTCGTTCATTGACCTCGTATCTCGCTGCTCGTTGGTCAACGCTGCCCATACCGTACTACATCAACACACAGTCTGGAGGTCATTATATCATATCTTATTTTTACACTTAAAGCTAATTTGCTCATTGACCGTAGTATATTATAGTGAGCGAAGCTGCCGTACTTGCCGGAATTGCACGTTGGGAAGCCGACACGTGCATCACATTCACGCGGCAATACAGTTTACCCAGCCGAAACGGAATTGAGTTTTTCCTCGGAAGCGGGTAGGTTGTTTTAGTGTTCCTGACCCTTTTCCAGATGACCTTCCAGATGACCTCGAACCTCTTCAGTCTACGAGGGACAAACTAACAAGTTGCCTTTTTCCTGTGAATCCACGAATAACTTATTGCAACTTTGTAATACTAATATGACAATTCGAAATTCTTAAAAAATGCAAAATAATATTGAGACTCCAGTGGTTTCTTAGTTTGGTGTTTTTCAATATGAACACCTTTGCGCCCACCAAGCATCGTCTACGCATTTCAGCAATTGTGTCACATTCGTTCTTGTATGCACTTCAGCAATCGCATTCAATCGTTCTTAGACCGGTACCCTCAGAAACTCCGAAGCGCGTCGATTGAATGCAGAACACAGATAAGCACAATACCGACGGCCTAACCAAGAGTAAATTTTCACTAGTGATCTAAATCATCGAAAACGTAGGTTCATAGCAACAGTTGTAAATGAGAGTTTAATATTTACTGAAAGAATATGACTGCAACAGTAATAATCATTTCATTGGCAGAAAGCATACATTTTGTAGAAGCTGTCGTCATTTGTGGTGTGCGGTTTGCGCTCGACGCGCTTCTGGTTTACCGAAACAGGGTATAACTCGAGCACAGTACCGTCTAGCAGTGAATTGCGTCTTCTATGAGCAGAGAAGTATAATGAGCCGTAGATAAGCAGTGGTGACGGTATCGCAGCGTCACGTTCTGGACTGGTCTGGAGAAATTCGCTAGAAATTTTCGCTTTTCTCAAACATTCGCTTTTCTATTCACTAAAACAAACTTTTCAGGAAAACTTATAGCCTAGATTGTGCCTTGAACATACGTTCCACAATAAGGCCAATTGGTAACAATATTTCCCGTAAACAGGGGGGGATGGGGTGCTGGTTCCACCGTAGGAGCTACTTTCGCTAAGCAGTAGTGCGCATGAACACTCTTGGCGAAACATTTTTGTATGTAGGTGTAGAGGTCGGAATCGAGAAAACTCTAGCGAAACTCTCCAGAATAAAAACTCAGTCCAGAATGTGGTGCAATAATCCCGTTGGCAAGTTACTCACCGAGTAAGTAAATGATTTTGAATCTTATTTGGCAAAATGGTGCTCTGTGCTTGAGTCGTATTTGATGAAACAAGGTTCAATTTCAAAAAGAGGGAAAGTTTTCGAGGAATTAAAAAGACTTCTGCGAAGTCAGTGTACTTCTTCTTCTTCTCCCTAGCGTTAGCAGGGTCCGCTGTTTTGTCAGTCGTCGCCACTTTGCTCTGTCCAGGGCATCTTCTGCCGTGGCCGTGACCTTCACTTAGGTCCTTCTTGATTACGTCTTTCCACCTTTTCTTTGGGGCTCCTCGCGGTTGCCTTGCACTTCGAAGTCCATCGCTGTTCTTATCGGATGGTCCTGTGGCCTCCTTAGCACATGCCCATACCATCGCAGACGCTGCTTCCGCTCTGACATCCTCGTTTCTGACCCTGTCCAGTCGCGTCCAGCCGCAGCATCAGCATCTCAGCGGAGTGAAGCTGCCTTTCGTGATTCTTGTTCAGGGGCCAGCACTCGCTGCCGTAGAGCAGGCCTTACCACTGTCGGTACACCTTCCCTTTGAGCGTTCTGGAGCACCTTCGATCGCAGAGGATTCCAGTGGACTCCCTCCATTTCATCCATGCAGCGTTGACCGAGCCTTCACCGCCTGATCCACACTACCGTCGGCTGCCAGATCGCTCCCAAGGTATCGGAAGTCCTCCACTCTTTCGATGGTCTCACCATGGCCGTCCACGATCGGCTCTGCACCCTCTTCGGAGCTCAGGAACTTGGTCTTCTTGACATTCAGCCGGAGCCCAGGACTTTCTGCCATTTCTGCACCTTGGCTTGAAGTTCCTCTCTGCTATCCGCTATCAGGGCGATGTCGTCAGCGTAGAGGATGGTCTTCAGTGGTCCCTTCCATGAGCCCCTTCACCAGGACATCTAGTGTTAGGAGGAAGAGGAACGGGCTCAGAGCTGACCCTTGGTGCACCCCAACCGTGATGTCCACCTCCTTCGTTAGGCCGTGTGGGGTGCGTATAGCTGCCTTCGCCCATCGTACATGTCCTTCACCAGAGAGATCAGGTGTTCTGGCACGTTCCGTTCCCTGAGCGATCTCCATAGCACTGCTCGCGGTAGCCGGTCGAACGCCTTCTCCAGGTCGAGGAAGAAGGGTCAACCGTCACGTTTCACAAATTTCAAAAATTTCACGACTCCCTCGAGTCAACCCTACCGTTGGTACTTTTCAAATTTTCACGACCTCCCTCCACCACCATGAGACTCAGGAGTTCCACCAAGACCACCACCCTTACCATCAGAGCTGTTACTATAGTATTTGATTCCCAGTTGACACAGCCCGACTCCACCCATATTTCCTTTAAAATAGCCGCCGAAAAAGCTTCAAGGTCGGTGAACCACCGATTATGTGGGAGAAATGGAATAGGACATGAAAGGGATGTGTAGGATGTACTAGGTCGCTATACCTGTCCGATCAAATGACCCTTGTGGGTGTTATCATGCTTTTATCCTGAACCGTTAGAGATTTCTGAGCGTACAAAACCAAAGCACAATGGAATTCCTCCTTCCACTCCATTTCACCCTCTCTCCTTAGATTTTTCCCGTCTTACTGAGCCAAAGTTCGTCTGAAAATACTGTCGTTTGCTCAGCCTATGCTGATATCGTTCAGATGCTATTCAATGATTGGACGTGTCGGATCGCGGTCGCAGCAGGTTTCTATAGGATACGGCTGCACCTCCCTGGGCACCGTAACTCACGAAATTGGTACGAACCTTTTGTTGGCAAACTGACTAGTAAAAAATTGAAATACTACATCATCAAAATTCTCTACCAAATATAGGACATGCCCTCGGTTTCTATCACGAACAAGCACGATACGATCGTGATTCCTACGTGCAGATCGTCGCTCAGAACATTCAAAATGGCTATTTGAGTCAGTTTACCAAGCAATCCAGGTTGGTCCAACAGGTTTTCCCCTTTACAGCGACCCGTCTTATCTTGAAACTTGCAGATCAGCTATGCAGGATTACGGTGTCGGTTATGACTTCGGATCTGTGATGCACTACGACCAGTTCGTGAGTGCACCTAAACTGTCAACTATTTAGTGCTTTCATAGATTCCATTCGAAGTTTATGGTCATTTTAGAGTTTTTCCCAAGGCGGTGGTCAAGCTATCAAAGCAATCGACACAAATTACCAGCAAACAATTGGACAACGCGAAGCACCATCGTTCATGGACGTTAAACGCATCAATTTGGCCTACTGCAACAGTAAGTGTACTATCATATCTGAATACCAGTTGTTATCACTTTCAATCACCCACCAACAATGTCCCCGTCCCACCCCACATGACACTTGCGAGTATGGACGCTCTAGTGTCAACGCAAGCTGCGTAACGGAATCGACGACTTTTGCATTCTTATCAGCCCTTATCAGTTGCTATCGCTTTCCATTCATGTACCACCAATGTCCCGGGACCACCCCACATAACACTTGTAAGTATAGACGCTCTAGTACCAATAAAGGTTAAAGAATAAAAGGATAAAGCATTTGCCGTTGATCAATCCCTTTTTGGGATGCGGCACGCATTCTACTTCCATTTGTACATTCGCAGTTTGAATGCGATGTGGCCTATACAATGACTTGCGGGGGCCAGCCGATGTTCAAGTCAGTGTTTTTTATCCTCCCAGACAAGTCTGGTACCAATTAACCGACCCCGGAGGGATGGAAGGCTTGGTTGGCCCGGGCGACTCACGACCCAGGATTTGATCCCGGACCGTCGCGTGGTGAGCGTGAGCGCGCCACTTGTCACTACACCACTTCCACCGGTGGGGCCGCCTTAACTAGTCTTATCGTTCATATTGATACTAGTCTCTCACGTCTACTCTAGTACCAATATGAACGACAAAACGAAATTGGCGATGCTCGCTTTCTAGCCCCTCTTATCAGCTATTATCAGTCGTTATCAGTTCCTATCACATACCACTTGTGTCCCCATCCACCCCCTATAACATATGTAAGAACCCTGCGCTACGTTATAA